TATCTTCTTGCTCAGTTGTGCAACGTGGCCTCCCACTTCTTTTTCCACTCTGGCTAGAGCCTGTAACTGGGACAGGGAGGGGGGTTGGAGAAAGGGTGCTGCTGCGTCGTGGATCATCTGTTTGCATGATGGAGGGACAAAGACAGTTATTTAATGTAAATTCCTGCTAAACATTTACTAGTGCTTAGGTAATGTTAACCTTCCGAAAACTATGGCTTTTTCCTGTTGCCTGGTCTGGATTATAAATATAAATTCTCAGCTCTGTGAGCTTTCTGCTTGGCCTCAGTGATAGTCACAGGCACACCATAAGTTCTTTACAAATGCTGGATTAATCCTTGTTTATTTTTCATTTGAAAAATATAAACAAAACAAAAAAACTTGCAATTTTTTTTTTTTTTTTTTTTTAAGATGTACAGCAGTACCTGGCCGGTCAGCGTTATCAGTGTGATTAAGAGGATTAACAAAGTATTTGAAGCCACAGACAGCTACTTTATTTTACTCAACAGGTTAATAATCTACTAGTAATTTGAACAGTTCAGGTAACAAACCTCTCTTGAAAAACTGAGTCATGGTATTGGACGCCTTTCTCTGTCCTCTTTCTCATGTCTTTCCTGTTTTTCAAAACTGAACTTTGATTTTTTTGGGGCACTGCATTCTTGAGCTGCAAACCCTTTTTACACACTGCTGCTTATTTGCACATTTTCTTGTTCACTTGTTTTATTTGTTGTCTCTGTGTCAAATTATGTGTGTGCGTGGCACTAAAGCCCCCGTTACTAGCAAGCTGTTGCTGACATTGTGCAGACAGGTCTGCACAATGTCAGCTGAAGCACATCTGAAGCACTGTCAGCTGATCAGCTGAAGCAGATCTGATGCACCGTGCAGGACCTGAGGACCAAACAATTTTTGCAATTTCGCTGTTTAAACGTATTGTGGAGAATTTTCTTGAATTTTTTTAATACTCTCCACTTAAAAAAAGCCCATTTCTCCTTGTGCATGCTCTGTTTAAAAGTTTCTGTTCTCATAGCTCATAAAACTTTATAGTGTTACTGAATATCCGCTCTAACTGTTGGGATCTGGAGCTGTACCACCTTTCTTCAGCAGAGTGCGCCGTGGATCCTCCTGAGCTGAGCCTCCAACACACCTGTGGCGCATCTTGTCATCAGAGGATCCTCCTGTATATAACCTGCCTTCAGACCTTGCCTCAACGCCGCAGTGTTGATCCAGTTTGGTTAGCACCTGAGCATCT